CGCTTCTATTTCGCCACTCCTACCGACAACTCACTTTCTCTGGGGGCGGGCGGGGCCTAAGATCTTTGTCTTCTGTAAAAATAGTAACTCGGTTCAAGCTATAAATGAAAAGACATGAAAGGAGCTCTTTCAAGATTTCTATAATTCCGAAACTTTTTGTATAAATAAAAAAAAATGAAGTCAAATATATTCATTATTTTTTTGTTAGTCGACAGAGAATTTTTTCAATAAAAAAAATTTTGCTGGTAACTGAAACTCGCTCTTAGTTGTGTCTGATCACATTTTTCGAATTCAATTTCAATTCTTTTCCCTTTGTTATTTTGAAGTTCGATTGTCTCTCTTTTCGTTATCCGAAATACTGAATATGGCAGCAGCAGTACTTCCTCTTCATACGCACGTTCAGATATACCACTTATATCTAATGCTCGACGATTTCCATTGATATTCTTAATTATGAATGTACAACCGATTGATACTTCGCCTTCTTTATCTTCCTGATCAAGTTTGTGCTCTGTTCGATTATATGCTGCAAATATATCAGCTATTTCGGGCAGTTTTGATGTTGATAGAAATGTATTAGTCATAATACAGCGGTTCACCTGAATATTTGCTAATTCTCTTGAATCAAATATGCCACGATAAACCGTTCCATGGTATGTAATGAATCCTGGATGGTAAAAGAGAATACTGGCAATTGATTTTGTACCTTCTTGCGTCGTATACAAAGTATCACAACTAAATTTACTGCATCCTTTATCAATATCATGCAGGACAATACGTGCCATATCTTTATTTAGAAGTTTAGAAAAGCTTTGGCTTAAAGAATACGCCTTTACAATATGTCTTGGATCGCATTCTTGCATCGCTTGCTTGAAGAAGTTACGGATAGTGTCAATTTGCTTCTTATCTGTTATATGATCTAAACGCAGTGTTAAGTAGCCTTTATTGATAGTATAAATTTGTTGTTTTAGTTTTTTGTTGTCATTGTGCCATGATATTAGTTCCTTTCTAAAGTTGAGAGCTGCCTGAAGAACGTTCTTATCAACAAGTTCCCAATCGTAGTGATTCCGTTCATCTAATAAGTCACAACTATCATATCTAGTAGTAACGATTGCATCGTCATTAGCAACGATCGTTGACGACGCTGCTGAAGATGACTTATTAGATGAATAGATGAAACGAGTACGACCGCTTTCACGAGTGTCAGTTGCAATATTATCTTCATCAACATAATGATCAGTAGAAAGTTGTGTTTCCTCTTGATACACTCGACAATGTGTCATGCCATTCAACGATGCTTCCAGAGAATGTTGACAATTATTTTCAGATGCCATCATTCATAGGACATGTTGTAGTATACGCTAGAGTTCGTTACGTTAAACTTTACAAAATATTACAACATCGACAGCAGATACTTACATATATCAATCAAATGGTTTCCTGTGCAAATACATTTATATTCTCGTAAATATAGATAAGAGGAAGAACGTCATTTTTTTTCTTTGCTTTCAACTTACTTTCTTGTTTAACAAACCATGAAGGACAACAACGTTTTGCTTGGCTTATATAGGTGATGAAAAAAAGTGACTAATTTTCACTTCCTCTATTGAAATCACGAAATATTATTCATAATTGCGAGCAATGAATCAGAAAAAGAGAAGAAGAAACTTCGCAGTTATTTTGACTGAAACACACATACAGACGTATTTTATTCTTTTCTGTTCGTCATTACATACAGACATGGATGTTGCTGCATGTGAGAAAAACCTTACCGGATGCCTTACTAGTCTTGGTCTAAAACTTTGTGATGCTGACAAAGATATTTGTTTAGAACATGGCTTATGTATTATATCAATTGTTCCTAGTCCTATCTTAAGGTGTATTTGTTATCCATATTATTATGGTGATACTTGTGAAAAGGAAATATTCTCAAGAAATCTTTGGTTTTTAGGTCAACCATCACGAACAACAGAAATGCTTTTTGTTGCAAAATTTTGTCTGCTTCTTTTCTGTATTATTCGAATAATCAATTGTATTCTCTGTCTACAAACATATTTCTCTAGCCAACAAATACGTATTACAAATATTGGTGTCTATCTAATTTTTAATTCAATTATTTCACTTTTACTTTCACTTGAAGAATTTGTTGCAGCAATTCTACTATGGTTCATAAAACAGTTACCAGAAAGTTATTTGCCAATTGTTGTTTAATTAATCAAAAAATTGTGCTAACATCATTAAGTTACATTTGGGGTTGGAGTGTATTTTTTATAGCACTGCAACGTATGTTAGTTGAATATTTTGATCATAGTCTGTATACTTCACGAAAACATTCAATTATAATCTCAACCTTAATTTTTATTATTTGTCCTTTAACAACGATACCTGGAATTTTTACTTTAGAACAGCTTCCAGTGAACCAACTTTACCCTCACGCTAATAAACTCCTGATAGCTTTCAATTGTGTTAACTACACACCACTTGCTTATACCATCTGCAAAGTCATTTCAAGTATACACACATATGGTACACTTGTCTTTTATATAATACTTTGTCTTGGTGTTTTTGCTCATATGCTAAGACGTCGCAAACGTATCGCTCCGAACTACACAACTCGACAAAATATTCGTCTCATTTTACGTAATCATCGCGATTTTTTTATACCACTTATTGTAGCAATATTTTCTTCAATTCCAATGATAGTTATAGCTGAAATAGTAACCTGTTTTAAAGCGTGGAAACTTGAGTCACTACCATATCTGATATTGATATTCTGAAGTATATTTGGTCTTTTACCAATGTCATTTTCATTTTTCTTCTATATTTATCCAGCTAATGTTTATATGGTAGCCTTTTGGAATAATTCACCTGTAGGACGATGTCTGAGGAAATTGAAGCACAAAATGATTCAAACCGGTCAGACATTAAAAAATACTACATTAATGCGAGATAGACTGTCACAACAACCTCAATTAGATGCAGTCAGTCCCGAATATGAAGTTGGAGAGGATAGTGTTTGATAAATCTTTTATTTCTTAAATAAAAGTTTACCTGTGTCAATACAGAAACTTTGCTAAGTAAGCCTTGTGAAAGCTCAAAAGTGAGGGTGGATGTGGGTGTGTGGTGTGGTGTGGGTGGTTGTGGGTGTAGATAAAGAAGAGACTCATATCCCACACCTACACATTGGCACGCACATTCACAAATCAAAATTTGCCGAGTGACTTAGGATTTTCCGTCTGCTTCATTGAAGGAAATCCTGATTTTTTTTCAATGTTGAACTGATCATATTTTTCAGCTTCCTAGTCAGAGTAACTCGGTATATATTGTTTTATCGGACATATTTCGTCTTTCTGATAAGAAGACTAACGTTCCTAGACGAGTTTTCGTTTTAAAACCTGAAGTGTAGACATAGACAAGAAAGCATTAATATCAAATAATTTTATTTAATAGAATATGAATTTTTAAAATTCATTTGTTCAAATCAAATATTAAAAAAGAAATTATATTTTCTTTAAAATTTAAAGTAAGATCAAAAATATAATAGATACTCACATAATGAACAATATGAAAAATCATTCAACGTTTTAAATAAGAAGATATTTGAGTTAAACAGCCACTGAAATAAGATGAGAAAATACTGGTACATGGTTTTTATTCAGATCCATTGATGTATCACAAATTCCTCTACAATAATTTTTTTAAATATACTCATATTTTTCAAATCATGAATTAAATTTATTCTAAATAATGTTTTGTAAAGAGTAGAAAAAACTATGTCAATGATACTTCATAGAACAGAAAATTATTTGTTTGTTTTTTGTTTTTTTTTTGTTAGAAATAATTCATATTTTAATATGATAGTAAATATGAGATATGCATTGAACCCGAATATGTACTAAGAATGTTTCGACTAAGTGTAGGGTGTGAATACGAAAGTGACTCACACCAGCAAGAGTGCGGGATGAAGTCGGACAGTCTCGTGTCTGTCCGACTATCTCTGATTTGAAAGTTACATAAATATATATTGGAAAGGAAAAAATGATTCTCATATCTTGTGACTTTAATATCGATAATAATGAGTAAGAAATGAGAATTTAGTTTAATCTTGGAATTGTAGATAAGATATTACTTTAGAAAATGAGCTATTGGTGGCGATGAATTTTACTCATGAAAAATTAAGGAATATTTTAAGTTATTCGTAGTATAAATTTCGAGATGTATAGATTCATCGATTGTTCTTAAAGCGTTGATAATAACAAGAATGATTCAATTAAGTAATTTATCATGGTTCTATACTAATTGAAATCAAAAGTACTACATATTTATTTGAGACAATTTCATTTTACCATTTTTTTCAGTTTCTTTCAATCCTTGAAGACTAAAACAAAAAACAACAAAACACTGTTAAACATAAAGTTAGATATTTCCTATAATATATATATATATTCTCAATAATTACCTCTCATACAATAAAATTCTAATAGAATTTGATTTTGATTAAAAAGATATTAATTTTAAAGAAAGATTGTATTGCGATCAACTTTTTTCTTGTCACAGTTTGGATTTTAGTATATTATAAGCATAAAGATGCTCAAAAATAAGAAATTTAATGTTGAAGAATAATTTT